TTTTGTGAGCAAAGGTGCGTGATTGACAATGACGAAATCTAAAAACAGATTTATTTCCTTATTAAAGCAAAAGTTATTTAAAAAATCTATTTTCTATGCCTGAACGTGATACTGTGACGAAATTTGCTATAAACAGTGAATTTTATCCTTTCAGAAGTGAACTGTGTAAAAGTTAAAAGCGTGTCAAAAGCAATTAAAAATAAATTTGGCCACATTCTTTTGTATACTTCGTTACGATGCTTAGCGAAAATTCTGAATCTACTTTTACTCTTTGCAAAGAAATTATTTTTCTTATATAGGAAAACAATAAAGCGTGTAGTAAACTTAAAAAATGCTAACTGGTGGTGTCTTTTAATCTTTCTGTGCAACATCATAAAAAAGTAATACTTTAATAAATCTTTCTTTATGAGGTAAAGCTAAAATTATTTTCAAGATGACAAGTACATTTGCTTACAACGAGAAAATGCGGAAACAAATATTGCCTAATTTTCGAATCATAACAAAGCTTAAATAAGATGACATTTATGAAATCTATACAGATTTTTAGCTGCAATGTCTAAGGATCTTAAAAGAAGGATTTAATCTAAAATGTAAGGAAAGGGTTGAACATGGTTTAGTAATTATTTGAGAAACTTCCGTTTTCTTATTCGGTTAATAATTGTTTAAGACAGAAAACCAAAGTGATGTGTTTTTCTTACAAATTTAATTCCAGTGACATAGGCGAAGATACATTATTACAACTGAGAAACATTGTACACATATTTTATATGCTAGGTTACTTAGCACTCAGTCATAGGTTAAACAAAATTATTATTTTTATGTGTTCTGTGTTCTTTTGCTAATTACCTTACGAATTGTTCCTTGACCATACGCAAGACTGTAAAATAATGAAGCAGGATTACGTAGTTTGATATAACACTGATAAATAGAAAGATATTCTTGAATATGAAATGCCGTAGAAACTAAGAAAAATCTAATTTTCAGGCTATATGTTTATTATGCATGTTACATATTCCATATGCTTGAAGACTTTTGTACAGGATCACGTGATGCATACCAGTATGAGGTAAATATATGGCCATGAAATATATTGTACAAATATATTGTATGTTTCTGTACACTAAGTTATTAAATGTCTTCTCACATATATGTGAGAAGCTTTTTCTCGCAGCTGAAAATTAGTAAGAAAATAACCGGATTGACCGATTAGCATCTACAATCCATGACGAAGATAATTCCTAGTAATTTTTCATCAAGATTACAAACTTCATCATAATCGAAACGCTATCGGGTAACAAGCTATAATAAAAAAATAAAAAGTTTATAAGAGAATGAGACTATGTTATGATTATTTATTCTCAAGGTTTGTCCCAGTTAGCAAATTTTCTCTGAAAACGAAAATTTTGATAAGTTGGTATAGTTTCAATTAAAATAATGTGTTTAAAAATTAATTAAACATATTATGATTATTTGAACCAAATTCAGTCAAACAATGTTACACTCAAATTTAAATATATTCAAGTTAAAAAATGTAAGTTGTAGAGGCGTTAGGTATATTTAGGAAGCAAGAGACGTGAAAAATGAACACCTTCGCCGGGAATCGAACCCTGGAATATGCGCTCAGTCTGCAGACCACCACACTACGAAAGCACGCTAAGAAGGCGGGAGAAATACCTTATATACTTCCCCTTTTAAAGTGCTACTAGGTTTTAGGGGACCCAATTGCCAAATCCGGGGAATGGAGAATCATCATCCATCACCTTTTTTGTTCGGGCGCTACTGTAGAGACATTATGTATTTTTTGGAAGCAGGAGACGTGAAAAATGAGCAACTCCTTCCCCGGGAAGCGGACCACTGACCTCTGGAATACGCGCCTAGCGTGCAGACCACCACACTATGAAGGCTTGCTAAGAAGGCTGGAGAAATACCTTATAAAGTAATAAATATAAGTGTGAACGTTTACCCTTTGCGAGATTATTATTATTAATTATGTATTTTTTGATAAATATTTAGTAAGCGAAATTTAAATTTGGTTTTTCTTATTTTGTTAATACTATGTTCCATTTTGTAAAAAAAAAAAAAAAAAAAAAAAAAAATGTCTTATTAGATGTTCTCAGATCGGTTATTCGGCCTGCATACTTTGAGCTTGAGACCACTCAATAAAGCGGACAAATTCAAGCAATAATCAAATTATCTGCAAACAATGCACGCTCAAAATTTGCGATATAGATTACAATAACAATACAAATTTGGAGAGCTACATGCATCATACTTAAATTTTATTATGTTTGATTTTTATTCTTTAACTAATTAATGCATTCCATTCAACTATATCTGAAAATCAAAGGACTTTAATTATAAATACAAATATATCTTTTTATTATCGCAACTTGAAAAACTTAAAATTATAACAATAATAGCTTATTTAGAGAAACAATAAAGGTAATCTGGGAAAGAAATTTAAGAAATTTTAAAAACGGTGCTAAATGAAAAGGCTTAATTTTATTACTGTTAGTTCTTTTCTTTTAAACAAGGAAAACCTGTTTTTGAAGCTTTAATTAGAAATGCTTTCATATGTTATGAACATGTTTTATGAATATTATAATGTTATAAATTATTTATCTGCTTTAAAACTATAAGCCTATCTTAAGACTCATTTAGCAGGAGTTAAAGGGGAAAACTGGAATTTTTCTCATATCAGATTTTGCATTTAAAAGTCTGAAAAAATTTGCAAATCTTATGATAATAATTAAATTTGATATCGTATGAAAGTTGTGAGTAATGCGTGACATCAATAAAAGCCGAGGTTTTAAAATATCTTTGTCATTTATTGTGATTACATGATTTTGTCTGTATGGTTTTGATTTTTTTTTTATTTGAAGTATTTAATCAAACAATAGTAAGATTTAAAGTTTAATATTTTGTGTATTTTTTATACTGAATATTCTGTCAGTAAAAACAGAGAAGATTTAGCGTATGGAAGCTTTATTTGAATACCGTCATAAAGGATTTTTTTAGCTATATAGGAAAAGTATTAAGTGTGATTATTTTTTTAAAAAGTCTGTTTTAATTTGTGATGTATATAGAGTGTATTTATTTAGCAGGCAAAAATTACCTAGGAGATTTTTAGATAGAGAATTCATTTATGATATTTTAATGGGTTTTGAACTAAGAAAATATTAAAGAATTTAATTAACGGGAATTAAGATCTTATGGATTCATAAATTAAAATGAAAAACTAATTTATGAAATTTCTGAAGTCTTAGTTTCAGATATATACCTTAATTTTATGTGGTAATGATTTCAACTAGGAAGTACTTAAATGTCAAAGAATGAACTTCATGTAGGAGAAATTATTGCAAATCATACAGAAAAGTTTGTTGAAAAATTTAAATTCATTTGTAATATGTGACTAATAAGGAAAACATATTAGACATTTTAAACTGAATTTACTTATAATTCACATATATTACATATTCTTAAGTATTTTATTCCAGACTATAACCCACCTTTTTTAAAGATAATTACATTATCTGTAACATGAACTTAAGTGTCATGAAGGCTAGTTTAGAATGGTTGAATTATTTGAATATGGCAAATCTCTGAGGGAAAGGATGCTTTCTTGCAGGACTTTCTGAGATAAACTGTCTCGTATTTATCCGGCACACGGAAAAAACAATGAAAACCAACCATGTAGCCAGCCCGTTTGTCTGGGATAGAATCCAAATTAAGTCGAACTACTAGCATTCAGTTGTCTTACCTTCTCAGCTACTGGTGGGAACAGCTTTAATTGTTACTTTTTGATATATCATTCAGGCAATGAATTTTTATGCATAAAAGAATGACAGAGAAGAGATGCTATAATTTTTAATTGTACAATAAAGCAATTTTTTAAATGCAGAATTCTCAGCATTCATTACAAATTTTAACCGAATTAATTTAAATTAAAACAAATTTTATCTCAGGAGAGCGCCGGGATAGAGGTGAGGCAAGGGAGGCACTTGCTTTAGATGAATAACTAGAAGAGACGCCAAATTAGGTAAAAAAATTTCGAAATTCATTTTTTGAAAGAAATTATGATCATTAACTTTGAACTTAGGAACAAATCAAGAAGTATCAAAAGAGTTTTGTGTTATTAACCATACAAATAAAATTAAAAGAATTAACATTAATATATTCGGAAAAGTGCTAAGCCTCTACAAGACTGTATATACATTTTTTTAACATTAATAATTCCGTATAGTAAAGCATTTACAAGCCTAGATACATTAAAAAGAAGTCATGAATACAGTTTAGTTCAATCGTATTTGAGTTTGGGCGCAGTGTCAAAAGATCTTTTAAAGTTTGCAATTAGTGCTGTTAGTGAGGAAAAATGTTTCAGTAACTTAAAAATAATAAAAAGTATATGAGATCCAGAAACATTCAAACATATTCATTCTCTATAACAGAGCATAAGTTCGGTGATCAAATAAATTTTGAAGTACACACACATATATGTATAAAGATTTCGAACCAATTTTTCACAAATACCAAAAAATGGAATTCAAATAAATAAATTTTAAAAATTCCTTTAAAAATAGAACTAAAATTATATAGATGTTAAAAGAACCAGCACGAGGAAAAAACCAAAAACAAATAAAGTAAAAAAAGAACATGAAAGAAGAGAAATCCAATAAATTCCAGCATAACGTCATCAGGAGGAGGATACGTTGAAATTAATTACAATTCCACTTCCATAAGAAATTTCTTGCTTGCTTCCCCCAACCCAAGGAGGTGGGCATTTTGTATAAGGGGTGACATTTACCTCTTTACCTCAAGAGAAAAAACATTTAGGGAAGGATTTGGTCTGCTTGTTGACATTGTGCGGAAAGTTTGATTGGGCAAGTTTTAATTATTACATTTGCACTGGGGTATTAATAGCAATCAGCTGTTCGATAAATCAATAAATTATGAAATATTTCAATTAGATTAATCAACTTCTATGCAATTATGTTATTTACCAGGAGCTCTGCAGCGAGAGAGAAAATCTCTACTTTCAGAAGGATGCTCATCACCCGTCCAACGTAGGTTAATAGGAATTTTCCCTGTATATCCAGATATGAAATTTGGTCGCCTTAGGTGCGCATTGCAGGCATTTGTGCAGCATCTATTATGTAACATCAAACGCTGATGACAAGCTCCACAACATGCCTCCTCCATTATCAGTAACTACCTGCAAAACATAAGTTGAAGAAGAAATATTTTTAAGAACTTTGTTCAATAGTAAATTTTTAAACTCTTGTACAGGAAACGTATTCAAAAATCAAATTCAAAGGTAGTGTATGTTAGGACAAAAACTTTAAGATTTGTGTTTATCATTTTTTTTTATTTTAATGTTATTAAAATTAATCTATTAATAATTATTTGGGGAAAAGTAACACTTGGCTCTGCAAGATATAGGGATAAAGAAACCATTTTTCTAACTTCAGTTGAATGAAATCATTCCAAATTGGCAGAAGGGTCTGCACGCTATTGTTTGGTCATACTTAATAACTAAGTATAACTTGAAATTAATTCCCGTGTGTTTATTTTCTCAAATATGTTTAGAGTCATTACACTTCTAACGCCAGTCTGTTGCATCGGAGAATCTTATCTCTTTACCCTTGCATTTTAAGTTGAATTTAAATGTACGAAATTTAAATAACTTAAACAATTTGTTGATACATTTATTATAACTATAAAAATAGTGTTCCTCTCTTTTATTAACATTTAATATGCAGGACAATTTAAATAAGGCTGGATTATTTAAAACGAGCCTAAATGCGAAACTTTTCAATTCATTACGAAAAAAGGTATTTTGTATGAAATTTTGATGTAAACGTGTCTGACTTTACAATGTACTTTAGAACTGTTTTAGTACATAATCATCACATAATTCATACATATTCTAACCAGTCTTGATATTCTGTTACATTTCTTGAAGCGTATTTTCAGTAATAAGGCTGATATGAATACTGGTTCTTATCTTTAGTTGCACTGCAGCCCCGGCTTATTTGATATCAGAATTTAAACCGATCGATCAATCAGAATTTATATTTTTTCTGCATGACTGAAGGCACTAGACGGATTGACTCCTTAAATCTGTATTAGGCGTGCTCACATCAAAATTTTCCTATAGAGGAACAATGAAACCACTTGCTCATTGCAACGCCCCTGTGTTCCAATCCACTAACGACCCACTTTCTCAGTTGAGCTCTGTCCAAAGCACCACTTGCTGAACTGCGTTCCGAGGATCACCACTCCTGGGAGAGTAATGGCAAACAGCACATTGAGTTGATCAATGTTAACGAATTTCATTTACTGCGCATGCTCAGTGTTGTACCGTTGGCGTAGAAGAAAATACTGGCGACTAAGCATAAACAACCCTATACACAAGGCTGTTATGTAGATCTTATCCACTGTTTACAATTGCAGTACTTCGGAAATTTGTTTGTGCTTAATGCATTTAATTCTGTTTCATTTCATTTTGGTATATTTTGTTCACAAGCATGGTATTTAATATCAGTTATTTATAATAATTTCTGTGACTTTACTTCAGTAATTTAAACTGGATTTATTCCTTAATTTGCTAAATATATACGAATGGAACGTATGATAAATAATCATTTGCTTTTATTCCTCAGAAATACAGGTATAATCAATATATATTCAGCTAATATATCTTGTAATGTGTCCTGCTTTGTAATCATTCTTAAACGAAAATTTACGTAGTTGACAACCTATATTTACGCTCTAAGTAATGAAGCAACTTACACGTAACAAGTTTTAAAACCCTAACTGTTTACGCCCATATAACAGAATATCAACCATACACCATATTTATCTTCTTTTAGAATTGTGCCAAATTCCTAATTGCGCCAAATTCTCTTCTGACATGCGCAGTATGCAAAATTCGTTTAACATTGAACAACTGAATGTAAGGTCTGCCATTATGCCTCCCGGAGGCATGGAGGCCACAGAAAGTGAAGAGGATATTGAAACCGTTCTACTGACCTTCACATTACCCACTCGGATGGCATACGCCAATACCCTACATGACAGCATAAGCTGCAGTTTTGGGTAGTAAGAACCTGATCCATGTATTTTATATTCTCAGAGCCGAAACTGTCAACATATAATACTAAGTATATACCACGCCAGTACTGTTTTATCAACAAAAAAAAAAAATGTTGCAAGTTTTTCACAATACTTCCAGGATGGAAAATTTAGTCGTTCAGGATAGAATTATTTTTTTTAATTAAAGTGTTACTTTTCCCCAAATAATTATTAATAGATTAATTTAATTAACATTAAAATAAAAAAAGATAAAACACAAATCTTAAAGTTTTTGTCCTAACATACACTACCTTTGAATTTGATTTTTGAATACTTTTCCTGTACAAGAGATTAAAAATTTACTATTGAACAAAGTTCTTAATAATATTTCTTGTTCTATCCTGAACGACTAAATTTTCAACGTAATCAATTTGGTTAACTATATTGAGGTTCACTTTCCAGTAGGTTTTTGAACCGAAAAATGCGCTGTTGGAGAGACTGCATCTTATTGACTGAGCAAACAGAAAAGCTAGATATTCGACTTAAGTGAAATCAGAGTAAGCAATTTATCATCGATGTGTAAAATATTATTAAATGGAATCTTGCAAAAATCAAGAAACTACTTTTTACTAAATTATCATTTAAATGTTTTAACAACATTTATGAAACTCAAGATTAGTTACGGATTGTCAATATTAACTGACTTGGCTTGCATTAACTGACTTGTCTTGCAGCATAAATATATATTTATTTATTAAGGAACGTCTGGTATTATAATTTCACATGTTTAATTTCTAATTCAGTTTTATGAAAAATTCGTATTCTTCTACTTCTTGCTCACTGAAGTAAATGAAATGTCATAGCTAAATAGTCAACTGTTATACAAGCCTAAAATGTCTTCAAAAATCAGAAACAAATATGGTACTACAAAAGTTTTAATATTGATTAAATAGCATAGGAAAAGCTACTAAAGTACAAATTCAGTTTTTTATATGACTCATGTATCAGACATATTAAAAGCTATTAATTTAAGATACATATTTAATTGAAACAGGCATATCCATAATTACTTTTACAATGCTTATGCTACTAAATACTTGAAATGCAGACATAAAGTAATGAATTGATGTATTACCATGTAAAATGTTAAAATATTAATATTGACTAGTGGGAGTCTTCAGCAAGAAAGAGATACATTATCTTATTCTCCTGCTACAAAACTACTGTAATGCTTTCTAAATTTTCAGAAATATAATTGACATATATATCAGTAAACGAGTTATTCAGATATTTTTTATATTGACATTTCTCTACATCTCTTTTCTAATTTGTAAGAAAATATTTAATATTTTACGCAATGTTATTATGCATAACTGGCTTTATTAACGAAATTCAGAAATGACAATATTATTTCTTCTGTTATTTTACAACAGACAGTTTAACGCAATCTCTTGTGATTAAAAATTATTTTCTGAATATCGTGTCTGAATAGTTTTGAAATGCGAAATATTTAATCACACACATACATTGAAACTTAAAATACGAAACGCATTACAAAATTTTGAATTTCGCAATTTAGGCGTTTTTCAGGGTAAATTGCACAGCTGTATGTTATTCAGTTTGTTGCTCTTAGAAAAATGCTAATTAGATTTAACTAAATCAGAGACTTTGTCATAAACTTAACAGGCTGCTTCCTATTAAAACACAGTGAGCAATGTCTTTTTCTGAAAACGCTTAGTAAATTATATGAACTTAAAGTAACTGAGAAAATAAAACATTTCGGTAAATTATTTATTCACTAAAATTCATTTCTTAATATTTCAACTCCAAAACTTTACGTACTAATAATAAAGCTGTTCCGAATTTTCATTGGCTAGAGTATATTTATGAGAATCAATCCTAAATGAAAAGATTTAAATATAAGTAAAATAAATCTAATAATGATCAGGTAATTATTTATAAAATTTAGCTTAATTTTATAATTTAATAAATTTATTACATAAAGGTCAGCGTTGGAAATCGGTTGTTTGCAAGATCAAAACATATATCTCCACTTATTAGCCTTTATGCACATAATTAGGAGAAAAATAAAATAATTTATAATACTGAATTCTAAATAAAAGTAATCAATAATATGTATTTGAAATAGTATTCTGCACTGTTAAATCAGACATGCATGCACAAACTGCTTTAAAAAGCTCTGCGTCCATTAAGGATGAGAACAAGTGACTAAATAATCTTAATGTGTTAACATACTGAAGCATTAGAGTGATAATTAGTCATAATGACAGAAAGAGAAATATTTTAGTCGATTCTAATGAGGCATAATTTGTTGCTCAAGTTAATCACACCTATCAATAATTCTCAGCGTCTTCGAAACAGTACAATTGACATTCGGTGGTTGATGAGAAAAAGCGTCTTGAAGATCAATCAGTCATTTTATGCAATCTGGCATACCAAGGGACATGCTTAGTTTCCATAGATACTTAAATAATAATATTTTGAAAGAAGTATTAGATCTGTAATGAAGTTATAAAGAATAGAGGATAACGGTTTAAAGGTCTTCTCGTATATTTAGAATATAGTTAGTTCCGAGGTGCATTTTCTACAGTGGCATGTTTAATATAGTCTTACAGATATTAAGTGTAACATTTTACTTTTTTTAGCGCGTTGCTTCTTGAAGTCATGTATTTGCCTGGTGATTTTAAAGTCTTCAAATGGAAGAACTAATAGGGTCATCAATCTTAACCCACTGAAAAGGCCGGAACATTCATTGCACGCCTCTGATATCTTGAATAACTGAACAGTAATCCGAAACAGAAACATTTGTTAACTAGTTGCCATGCTACTGGATCAACAGAAATAAATTTTCATAGCAAAGTACTGACGTCAGAAATTGAAAATCATAAAGAACAGCAACCGTTAATAGGAATAAGAGCACGCTGGTGTCTTTAACAATACTGCCATGGATTTCGATAAATAGAAAGATGATATACAAGTGACATTAAACTGCATAGAATGTATTTCGATTCCAATTAATAGAGCGAATGTTATATCTGAGTAATCGTTTATTTGGTCAATTCTTAAAGAACAACAAATAAAGAAAATTTCTTTTCACTTGGGAACGTATGCTACTTA